GTCATATAGTTGTTCTTAAACTCTCCTTTCACAAAATAAGACCCATTTCCAAATTATCACATGTACTTATTAAAATAGGCCAAGCTCAGAGTTTCTATAATCTTCTCCCTAAATCAAAACACCAGTAATTTTAATTTTTAACTGGGCCCACCTCTGTTTCTGTAATAAATACAGCTATAAAACAACACAAGCACTTCCAGAGACATAACATGAACTGCTTTTACTGTCAGGACTTCACTTGACAATAGCCAAACATTCCTTAACTCCGAGCCAACTAATAAGCTAAAATTCAAAGCATACACGGGGACTCAAGGTTTCACAAGACATTTTTCCACTTGTAAAAACAAAGGGACCGAATGGAATCGTATCTAATGATTTTTTGCCATTTTCCCCAGAAGTGGCACAGCGTTCCACCCACAGAATTACTGCCTGCACAGAGGTGGAGGCTGCACAGAAGTAATTCAAACTACAAGCTTCACTTGATGAGCTCTACAAAAGTATTTCTTTCTCAATTCTGAAATACAGGAGGCAGCAAGAAAACTAATAACATTTGTGTTAATCTCCTGCATTTGAAACAAGCAGCACTGATGCTCGTCTTTTTCACAGTAAGTGCAGCAAAACAAGTTTCCAAGTGCTGCTGGGGGCACTGCTCTGAAATCCCTCACTCCCCAGTGCAGGTTGGCACGGCAGGGCCAGATCAACGTACGACTCCGTCACACACAAAAAAAAAACTCCCTTCGAAAAATTTGCACACATCAGGAAAATGATTCAGAAAACAGCTGTTCCACAAAGCCCTACGGAAAACACTCTTCCAGACTCGTTACTCGGCTTTGGAAGGAGTCTCTTCTGGAAGAAGACACGGCTGCCAATTAAAGGAACACACGGATGAGGCTGTGGCATTCCCTGGCCACCAGCCCCACACCTCTGCCACCTTCCTGCAAATAGGGGGGTCCAATTAATTTGCTTACTGACTCCTCAATCATTAAATTTTAGTCATTAAATCACGAATTTCCAGGCTAAGTTGTTATAATCAATGACTCAAAAATGTTTCAGCAATTTCACTTAACCCTGTCGCTCCAATTCACAAAGGGAAGCTTTTCTGTGCTCTTTAGGAAAATTCCCTACTTTCACTCTAGTTGTCACTGCACGAGGCTCTACCTTAAAGAAGATTTTCCAGTTGGGTGTTCCCAGACTGATTTTCCAAATTTAGAGTGAGATTCTGCTAACCTGATGTTCTAGTAGGAGGCTTCATCCTGATCCCTGAGCTCGGTAGAACATTCCTGTGTTCACACAGAGCCATCCTGGGCAAACAAAAACCAAATTCCAGATGTTTATTCACACAACTGGATCTGACTACCTTAACTACACATACAAGATGCCATCTAGGGAAAGGGCAAACTGAACTTTTCCAAGACAAAGATCTCCTTCCTCATTATACTCAGCAAAAGGAAGAGATGATAAGAACAAACACATCACAAATACCTTTAAAAGAGACAGAAGATAAAAACTACAATTAATTTCAGTGAACACTCTGCATCACCCTTCAGGCCTCCCTGGGATCAATATTAATCAATGGGATCCTCAAAAAAACATGGCAAGAAGGTGGCTAAGGTCTCCTAACTTTTATCCTCTGTCCTTCTGCCACATGAAAACATTCTGGGTTATGCTGTAAGAGCAGCACTTGCTTGGAGAGGTCATTTTGGGAGAACTCTTAAGAACTTCTACCTTGTGACTACTTGGAGGAGTTGTATAAAACAAAAATTAACAAACTCACTTAATTCTACCTAATCCAAGTGACCAAAAAAGTCAGTTCTGTAGGACTTTATTTCTCTAAGAAAATGTGTCACTGAATAGGAACAATATAAAGAATAATTTCCTGTTTTCCAAAGAGATGATCTACTGAATGATACTGTAAGGGTCACTGTCAGTGAGGAACTAAACTCATAGATCTCAAAGGATATTAAAAAAGCTAAAACAGGACTGAAGTCTGGGTGTCTGTATCAAGTTTATCCCACCCTGACTTCCTCCAGCTTTAAAAGACCTACCAGAACCTTGCAACTTTGGCTTTGAAGACCCCAGTCCTCGTGAATGAGTCCCTCTCTGACAGGGAACGACACCTTCCTCTGCAATACCTTATTTACAAGCTAACACGGAATTTACAGATAAAACTACTGTAGTGCAAAGATTATGTGGTGTCAACTTCATACACAAAGTCACCTTATAACCTAAGGTAGAGGCAAATAGAGTATGTTTGTCTTGCCTAAGCTAAAAAGCAGCCTCAGACACAGCCTGCAAGCGGTGATGGTGAGGTTCGAAGGCTTCTCACGCACAGCTTGTGTATTTATAAACCTGGCATGCAGTGGGCTGTGAAACACTTTCAGGTGGCTGTTTTCAGATCCAGTGGGTTTCTTTTCTGTCTGTACTTCGGGATTTCTGTAATGAGCACATCTAATGCTTTCCTGGAATATCACCAGTACCTTTAAAGATCTGCATGCAATTAAATCCATGGCTGATTCTGAAAGGAAACTTGTACTTCACTGTGCAAGAATTTTTGATTAGGTTTTAAAATCAGGCAGTGCAGCACACACCAATGCAAAAAAATCATTTAATTTTGATTCCTAGCTTTAAGGACACAGGAGAAGGAAAGACCCTTGGCAAAGCCACAGGAAGCCTTTCCTTTGGCTTAACCTCTCTGGCCACACGGTGCCTCTGCTGCTCAACAAATACTCAGAGGCTGAGCAAATATTTTCTGGTGGTTAATCACCAGCTGCCATCCATGAACTGCACTGGTGTGAGCCCACATCGATCCGCCCGGGATAAAGGCAGGTCAATATTTGATCATCCTGAAGGGCCCTCGTTAACTGGGACTGTCAGTCCTGCAGAAGCAACTCCGACAAACCATCGATTCACACGGTGCTACAAAACACAGAGCCGAGGCTGCCAGGCTTCACAGGCACCCCCACGCAGAGGACAACGAGTTTGGATCGAATTTCTGTGACACAAATCAGACCTGACACCATGCACTGCTCACCACCAACGCCATTCACAGCTTTTGGCAATCCTAAACTTCTCCCGTGCGCTCCAGCTACGTCTATCTTTTGGCTTCACATGTGGTCATCCAAGGTGGACACACATAAAAATTTATGAAGAGCCTGGCTGATAAGAGAACTGTGACAAAAAGCATTTAATACCTGACTGAAGCTGGAGGACACACAGGCAATGAGATCAAGAGATAAGGGAGCACTTATCACTTATAACAGCATTCAAATTTTACGTACTAGAGGGCTGCAGCATTTTGGCTGGTTGCATTAAAAGTGATCAGTTCAACCTCAATGGAAGCAACACCTCAGCTGGAATATTCCTCTGATATCTACATTTGTACTGTATAAACTCTAATTAGTTAACAAAGCCTCAGCACAGGTAGCACATCATGAAGCCCAGCGGTAACGTAAAACTTTCCACATCACCGGGAAAAAAACCTGCCACGTTCCAAAGAAATGATTTCATCAGATTTCATTTCCTTCACTGAGTGGAGTCTTCCCCAGACATGTGATTTGCCATCCACTGAAGTGTACAATGTCTGAACGGTCTCAAGTGACAGGTTAAAAACACTGCTTTGTACAGTCCTCCCTGAAGACAAGCAAAGCCCGGCCTCTGACATATTGTTCCTTTCTAAGTGATTAAACATTAGTTATGAGGTTTTTTTAAATTTATTTCTAACGTAGCAGGACTACAAAAGTCACACAAAGAACATGATAAAGAAGCAATACAATGCAATCAAAGCAAGCAGACACTCGAGCTCTGAAAAAGACACTTGACCAACTCTTTATTTCAAGAGTCCATCTTTGCAACACAAAGGATTTTCCATCAAGTTCAACAGGGGCCACGAGGCCTCAGCGGGTGCAGCAACGATACCCAGTTGGCATGAACATTGCTGGACATAAAGCTTTGCAGTCTCATATAAATATTTACATCTGCCAGTGTGTACTGAACACTCACTGACACCAAATGCACAGTTTCTAGTGCTGGGTATGCGTGTCCTTCATTCCACTTCACAGTGCAGCACCAAGCCCTTACAGTGTGTATAAAGAAGGCTTTCAGCGAGGAGAAAGAATATATTTTCTATACATATGCATCAGCTGGCTTTCAAAGAGATTTATGCTAAGAAGGCCTCCTCACACATTCAGATCTAGGTCTAAAATGCACTGATGAGTGAGCTGCACTGCACAGGAAGGGACAAGCTGCTGGGAGCAACGCTCTGCACACGGACACACAGACAAACGCACACAGAAGCACATGGAAACGAAGACAATCTGCTTCAGAAATCCTACACCCAACCCAGGGTCAGGTTGCAGAGGTTGGGGGGGGATGTGGTGGAAGACCCAGTTCTGCCGGGCTCACCGAGGACCCCTGTGGTTTCCCAGCAGAAGAGCACAGCAGCAGAGAGAGCGATCCCTGAAAAGGGGACGGTACGGCCGTGCTCCCGCTTTCCAATGGTTTCTCTGAGGTTCCCACTTGCCTGCCAGGTTTAAGTGGAAGGCTCCAGAGAACACAAGAGAGGGATGTAGGTATTCAGCTTAGATCGAGTCTCAGATGCAGTTAGACACGACTGTCAGCTTGATTCTGGGGCGAGGAGACAGACGCTTTGTAACACGCGCTCACAGCCCCACGACACAAGATTACAAGACTCAAGACGTAAATTACTTTTACCTCAATGTGTGCCAGTGTCCTGCCAGCAAGTTATTCAGCTGCTGAGGATGGAGTTGTAGCATAAAGCAATATATCATGAGATACAGATGAGGAAAGAAAAACTTCTCCCCCCTCTTCCTCAGGAAACCCAAAATAAAACCCATCATCTTTAATCCCAGATAACTCACAAATCTCAATTTTCCCCCACAGGCAAAAAGATCACTACATGACTGGGTTTTATTTTTTTTTTCTTTTCCCCCCACCTTTTCATCTTACATTTGCTAACTCAAAATCCAAAGTCAGAAAAAATATATATATTTAGTCAGAAGTACGTCAGTTACATTTTATTAACCTACTCCAAGGGAAAAGCTCCAGGGATTCACCATACAAGTATAAAACCCCTTTCAAACACCTAGGGGTTACTATATTAACTTCATCCCAGCAGTCAATCAATGCAGTAAAAAAATTAAAATACTGAAAATGGATGCTTTTTTTCCTCTTCCACGTGTCCAGTGATTGCTCCGTTACAGCGTGATGAGGTCCACCAGGTTGCCTTTAGGAGGGGTCATGTTGTCTGGAAAGAAGTTGACTAGTGTGTCAAACAGCTGAGTTCTCTGGGCATACGTGTGGTCAACATCTGAAAATCCTGGGGAAGGAAGAAACGGGGAAATTGAGTCAGTTGTCCCTATTCTAAATGCTCAGTGGAACAGGCCAGTTGTCCACCTGGGATCGATGTTAACAGTCTGCTACTTCTGTCTCCACTAACAAGGCTGCCAGCCCTCCACCCCACTGCTGTGTGCACATACACACAGAGTTCACGTCACCCCAAGCCAGCACTGCCATCAAAATGCCATAAAAAGTAATCAGCAAATGCCTGTCAAGCTCATTGACAGCCCTGAAGAAACGGAGTTCTCAGAGGGCTGCTCTGATGCCCCAGAAAACAAAATCTGCATAGCTATTTTTATTTGGTGCCTCATTTCTTCTGTCCTCAGGCTTCCTCGTTATCTTCACTGCCATAACCAGAACTGCTCCTTGGATTGCCTGGAGTTTTCCTTCAGACAAGTCCTGCTGATGGGTAGGAGTCCCAAGTCAGGTATTTACTCACTGGAGTTGCACAGGGGACCTTGGCTGCATCTTGGCACAAGGGAGCTTTGCAAACTGGGTTTCTGAAGTGCTGCCTCCCAAGAGGGGAGGGTTTGGTCTGCATTTTTTATCCAAATCATCACACTTAAACCATCAACAGCAAGAACAATAGGGCAGGCACACAATGATTTCCTCTGCTCTGTGTTACTTCTATCGCTGGTATCTCCAAGGAATGCTTTTTAATTCAGTGAACTCACTCTTCAGTTAATCAAAGTCAACCAAGTTAATCAAATCAAGGAGGGCTAGGGGTTTTTGTTTTATTTTAGAAGCACTGCTTGACATGTGCATCCTATCTGTAAAGCCAAACTCTGGATAAAAGTACTGAACTGACACAACAACTAATTCATCTTCTACAACACTTAAAACCAGGGAAAGGTTTTGAGGGTGGTGAGGCCCTGGCACAGGTTGCACAGAGAAACTGTGGATGCCCCATCCCTGGGAGTGTTCAAGGCCAGATTGGACAGGGCTTGGAGCAACCTGGTCTAGTAGAAGGTGTCCCTGCCCATGGCAGGGGGCTGGAATGAGATGAACTTGAAAGTCCGTTCCAGCCCAAACCATTCTGTGACTCTACGAAAAATCCAACTTTTTTGAAACATCTGTTTTCTTTCTTTAAAAACAAAATTAATTTCACGGGATCAACTAGATGTCTTCCAAATCACGCCAGCTCAGCAGAGCTTCCTCATCCAGCCGGGCAGACAGTGCCGTGGGCTTTTTCCTTCCTTCAGTTTCTTATGTTGGGAATTCTGCCTCCATGAAAAACTGAAGTCGTCCAAACTCTTAGCGAGAGCTCGGTAACGTGAGGACAACCCAGCACTACAAGGATGTAAGTTGTGCCTACAGCCTTCCTATAGCTCTCCCAGGATTAATCTCTGAGCTCTGTAAAAGAGTTAACTGGACAGAGGAGCGAAACAAATCATGGCTTTGGCTCAGCCCTCCTGTTTCCAGCCCTTCACGCCACTGTTTTCTTCGCTCTTGACATTCTGCCCAAAGAACTCGTTCTGCAAAGAACAGGGCGAACCAAACTACTCCAGGAATTGCAGTTATCACAGCAAACAGAGCTGTAGCCATGCTGTGAGATTCCAAAGTGACATGACAGGAGGTGCTTTATTCTGACCAAAGCTTCTGTTTACTTGGGTAACAGCAACGGATCAGATGTAATAAGACACACAAAATGATCCCAGGAGGCACTGGTTTAAAACCACTGATGTTGACAGATGTTTTAAATATGGGCTCGAGGCATTGGACACTGGTCATTATAAATAACCTCTCAAATGGCTGGGTAGTGGCACTTTGCATATTCAAAATGAAAAAGGGCCTACAATGTTCATAGGAACTACAATATTTGATATAAAATCCAGTAGAAACTAACAGCAATTATCAGATGGAACATCATATAATTCATGTGACACACAATACTCACCAAGAGTCGTGAAATCCGAGCCAGACTTAAATAATGCTGAGGCAAGAAGCTGAAACTGCAGAAGAGGTGAAAGGAGAAAGAAAAAAAAAAAAAGTGTTATTAACCGCACAGGAAAAAACCCCAAAAGATTCATAGAAGTCCAAGTGGTTTGAAAGTTGCTGTGTTTTCTCTGCACAGTGCTCAGAACTGCTGTGCCATACACATGAATAACAGCAGCAGGCACTTTCACATGAGCAATACAATTTGTCAGCTTGGCACAAGTCAGATGGTTTTTCCTAGAATTAGAGCAGTGTTGATGCAATGAAAGGTACTTGACTGAGAGCTCTAAAAATCTCATTTTTTTTTACATATAGTTTTTTGCCCCTTTGGCAGATATCACAGAGCAGAAGGAAGAGTCCCTTCCACGCAGTAACATTCCCAGGGATTAACATGGTACAGGCTCAGCAGGCAGGGATTAGATAGCACAAAAAACAGGGGAACTGCTGGATACAGTTGGAGCTGGTGCAGCATGAACTTCTTGAACACAGAGAATGCTCTGCCCAGAGAAGTTCTGGATGTTCCTTCCCAGGAAATGTTCAAGGCCAGGCTGGATAGGGCCCTGAGCAATCTGATCTAATGGGTGGCATCCCTGCCCATGGCAGGGGGTTAGAACTGGATGGTCTTTAAGGTCCCTTCCAACCCAAAACACTCCACGTTTCTAATGGTATCAACCTTTCTGAACTGCCAGAGAAGCTGATATCATAAACTTAAGGCAGCATCTCTTAAATTAAAAATAAAACTTCTTGGGGAACATCAGAATCATGAGTTCAAACGTTTGAAGTGACACATTCGTGGGTTTATTCTCCCTTAATATCTCACTGACAGACCAGTGTCTTCCTCTGCCCCAGCTGCTGTTTTCAGTCACCCCCAGAGCAGCAAAGCTTAGTGCTTTGTCATGTTCCTGTAAGGAATGAGCTGATTTCTTAAAGGCTTGGAATCTTGTGTCTCCCGTGTGTCTTTTCAGCACACAGCCCAAAGGAGAGAAGAGGGGGGAAGAACCAGGATAAATACGTTCAGGAAAGGAGTGGAAAGAACAGCCAGGGATTACATATCCATCGGTTTCATTTCAAGAAAAAATGGGAACGCAGACAATGTGAAAGCATGAAGGAGTGGAGAAGGTGATGAGTAGCAGCCAATGTGAGTTTGGCAACAACAAGTTGTATCACATCAACCTGATTTCTTTTATAGGCAGCAGGTCCTATGGATAAGACTTGGCAATGGACATTGTCCATTCTGACTTTCATAGGAATTCTGATGCTTTTATATATATAAAGGCAAATTTTTTATATATTTAATATAGATATATATTAATTAATTAATAATTAATTTAATTTAATTAATTAATTAATTAAAAGATTTAATATAAATCTTTTATATATTTAAAGGCAAATTATCAAGGCATCACCCAAATTAAACCAACAGGGAAAGGCAAACAGGTCAAATAACTTTTCTGTGGGTGGCCATCAGTGGTTTGACATGAAAATGGAGCTGTGAATCAGGAGTGATTCATGTGTGCCCTGGGGCAGCACTATTCTGGGTTTTCAGTCATAACCTGCTTGGCAGGACAGGGCAGGATCACTGAGCCCACAGCCCTTAGACCACTCTCAGACAGACTGACAGCATGGAGCAGACAGCCTTCCTACTGTTTTTCCACTAAATCCAGTTTAAAATGATGGATCAAGGTGTGTTTCATTAGGGCCAAGTGCAAATCAACACCAACAGGAAAAATCAGTGATACAAAACAGGTGCAGAGGCTCTGTGAAAATGCACCTAGGAGTTATAAGAGATCAATTATCATCCTACTGTAAAACTGGCAAATGCATAGAAAGTGCACAAAGAAGGAGCAGGATCTTCAAATAAATCAAGTATTCCTGCTGTTATCAAGGCTTGTAAGTCTCCTCTACAACAAGGCACCCACTTTGGGATGCCCTATATCAATTAGAAACATAGGAGGAAAGCGCTAAAAAAAAGATTTAGTGGTCTCAAAACCAAGTTCTAGGAAGAAAGTTCAAAGGAGTCAGCGCTGCAGAAGATGACAGAACAATGACCAAGGAGGAATCTGCCAAAAGTCACAAATGCAGAAAGCTGCTACAAGAAGTAAATCTACACCTAAGTGTAAGAAGCTACAAAAACATTTCAGCAAGATCAATTGCGACGTGGCATCAAGGGCAAAACCAGTCTAAAATAAGGACTGCGCTGTGCTGGAGTAAGTTTACATCTTTTGGAGAGGGTGTCCTGGGAAGGTGTAAGAAGAGGTTAGAAAGGTACAGGATTGACAAACTCCAGAAGAGGGGAGAGAGGGTGATTAAGCTCCCTCTTGAGTGTGAGGCCTGGTTATCCCAAATCACGAGTGACTGCAACGCTCCACGTGTATTTTCCTGCAAGCTTAATTTCCCAGAGCTGCTTGGCTTCCAGTCAGCAACATCCTCAAACAGCTGCCCAGCAGAAATAGCTCTAAAAGTTCCAATAAAACCCGTGGCTAAATCCATGCTGCTTCTGAGAGCAAATGCCACATCCTGGCCACCCTTCCCTCCCACACAATTGCCTCAGGGGCATGCTGCCAAGGCAGATGCCACATAATTCCAGAGGTTTCCTTTCCTCCCATAGCAATGCCAGCAGCCTTCCCACTGGGAGCAGAAAGCCACACTCCAAGGCTGGAGCTCAGGTGCCCAACTAAGAGACCATATAACCAGGATCCAACTTGTAATTCACTGAACTGAGACTAAAAATCCACTGAAAAGACCTTATGCCAAGTATTCCAGCCTCATCTGCACCAGGAAGGATGGATTTTCATGGCTACGAGTTTCTTCCCCTTAAAGCTGGAAAGAAGAATCTTGTTTCCTTCTGCACTGATGACACTGCACTTCAGTTAACCTTGAGGTTGTTTGTTTGTTTGGTTTGAAGTTAAGTTTATGTATCAGCTCGCATTTAAAAAGCACTTTCTGATAGAAAAGTCAAGCACGTGATTTAAGAACATCAGTTACAGACAGTGCTGAGCCTAAGTTGGTTCACTCTGCATTTGCATTAAGATCCCAGCTTAACCCTATGATGTTCTCCCAAAGGATACCTTTTTTCCCAATGCATAGGATAGTTACTGCTTACTCAAGACCACTCCTTCAGTTTTCTTAATTGTTATTGTAACAGACAGCACTTTAAATTCTGAATAATTTTGGGTTCCCTCTTTGAAACTAACAGAAACTGATTTTTCAAAATAATGTTATGCAACAACTTCTGAATTCACAGAAAAAGCAAAGCCCTCAAGCAAGTCACACCTGAGATCTCTCCCATCAGGCACCAGAATGAAACACTCAATTAATGACCATCTAGGAAAAACAATTTGCTTAACATCACATGGCAGCTCTGCTACAGAGGCAAGACCAGAATTCAATTATCCAGCAGAAGCATCCAACTGCTTTAATCACACACCACCCATTTTCTTCTGACAACCCCTCTGGCTCAGTGGCTTCATCCATTCCAAATAAAGCCTGCACTCAAAAGACAAGTTTCCTTTGTTATACAATTAACTTCTCTCTGAGATCCAACCCACCTTCTGAACTGAGCAGGGGTTCCTTGGAGAAAAACAAGGAACTAAAATAAGGCTGTATTAGTTATATCTATTTTTGTATATTTGCTGCACACCTCTGCCTCTGGAGACATGAAATGGTTAAGGGGGAATGAGTAACTCCTGTTTGGGATACCTGGTAGGTTGTTTGAATCAGACATAATTCCTCCTCCTCCTCCATAATGTGAGCACTCAGATCACAGTGCAAACCAGTTCCTCAGCTTTGCCCAATTCTCTGGGGCTGGTGACTCTCAGCACAGGCTCAAAGAAGCAAAGAGAGGCTCAAACTCTTTGAGGATGGAGCCGTTGCTGAAATTGGGAAGGCTGAACACTGTTTTTCTAAAGGCTCCTTGGCTCCAAAGCCTCTGCTCCTGCAGCACTCAGGCTCTGAGGCTTTACAAAGAATCACAGCAGGACACGAAGAAGAGAAACAGGCTTTTCTTAGCTCCTTCTTAGAACTATTTTTCCCATTTGGGCTTGAATTTTCCCAGAAATATCAGTCTAATGCAGACTCAAACAATACTTTCGGGCCCCGCTGGCTTTATCTGTCAAATTTATTAAAGACAAGGTTTTAAGAATGGAAAGTATGAAGCAGCCTTGAATAGGGGCCTCCAGCCTGGGTCTACAAGCAAGTCAGGCCTCAAATTGGCCTCCAGGTCCTTGCTCTTTCTCCTACCATGCTCCAAGAAAAACATTCTGCAAGTTTTCCTTGTGCTTGGTATCTGTTTTACAACAGTCGTGGGATTGAGCTTCGTCAAGTCGCTGAATCTCCGTGTACAAAACCATCTTGATCCCCTTTACTTGGAAAGCACTGGACATTTTTTTGCATCATCTTGATTTCTACTGTAGCCCATTTAAGAGCAGCAAAGTTCTGGGTATGATTCCTGCAGTGTTCAAGGAACATTTTAGCTTGGTACATGACCTACTGATGTTTCTGTGCTTTAATAGCACCCATTTTTCCTGAAGTACACAACTTGGAATTCAACTCAATTTTTATTTTGACAATCCTTTTCTCTTTAAAAGCCTACAGCTGTAACTATCATCAAAATCTGTGTGAGAAAGAGGAGAACACCCATGCCACCAGAAATTTTTACACCAACAAATGACACTTTTATAGAACTTTAATCTCTTAAATCACGGACAAAATTCCACATGCTCTGGGGATCTACCCTCCTTTACACACAGTGTCAGGGGTATTAATCCACAGTCAGTGAAAAAGATCTACTGATCAGGAAACCCTGAACTGACTAAAGGGATTTTAGGTGATTCCAAGCAGAATCAAATTAAAGAGAACTGGATCTGCATTTATGGGTAGAGTTGCTGGCACACAGCCTGTGGCTACTAAAACAGGCACCCTTGCAATACTTGTTACTTGCAGGCATCTACTTCACTTTAGAATAATAAAAAAAGTGAAATAAAAATATAATCCTATTAGCATCCCTAAAATTCACAGCAATGGAATGAAAATCTGGGGGTATGTTCCTACCATCAATCATTCATGCTACTTTAAACAAAATTGGTTACTAACGCCAAAGTAAGTTTCAAGAACAGTCTGTTTGTTTTCCTTGGCATCAAACTCCAAACAGCTGAACAGACTTGTCTAACTAAGTTAGAAGGAATTACTTCTATTACAAAGCAAGCAAACCTCACCGCAAGGGGAAATTCTGTTTGTAATGGTATATAACACCACCCACACCTCAGTCCAGAAAACATGAAGGTCTGGTCTCCAGGAGAACTATTGCACAGGGTTGGGGATAAAACTGTTCACCTTGGTCCTTCCCAGATTTAACAGATGCCCAAGGAAGAGGGAAAACAGGCAGGAATTGCTTCCCTATTTGCCACAGTAAGAATCCTTACAGCCTTCCATGGCTGCAGCCAGCACGGAGCACGTCAATCACCTTCAATATTAAAAGACAACCTCAACTACAAATAAAGGCAGAGCATGGAGGTGTCTGGGCTGAGAGATACAATCAAACTGGTGCTTGAAATTCGATATGGAATCCAAAAAGCCTGCGTCAGTCCTCTGGAAAGCACAAGAGAGCTGTTTGAAGATGCAATGCCAGAGCAAAAAGCCAACTCGATGTGATAACCGGAAGGTAAATTGACGTCAACTGGAAATACATCCAGTCAGTACCAGCCCAGCAGCTGGCTCAGGGCCACAGCCCTGCCAGATCTGTTCCAGGGTAAAAAAGCTTTGGAAGTAAAACCTTTATGACCAGCACAATTAATAATTAAAAAAAAAAAAAAAAAAAAAAACCCAAAAAAAAAAAAAAAAAAAAATTGTCCCAAAACCAGTTAAATGATTTTTGGAGGTCACTGGAATGGAAGTTTTAATTCTGCTGAATGGTTTGTGTTGATCCGACGGACCAGCACGACAGACAGAAGCTATTGGATTTTGTCTGGATCAGACATCGGGCCTGCAGAGAAAAGAATCCACAATATATTCACTCAGCTGGACTGAGCTATCTAAGCTCACATGCTGGATCACTGATGTCCAGAACACCAGTGTGCTCTCTGAAATCTTTTTCAAACATTTTTATTCTATTTCTACCTTGTAAGATAAAGGTGTTAGATTCCCCCAAAATCTCCGAGGAGCCCATGCAGGCAGGTAAATTCCTCATTCTTACAAGCTGGACAAGTTGAACACTATGCACTGAACTGGGAAAGTGAAATGTAGAATATTAAAAGGCTTTCCTGTGCCCAATGTGCAGCGTCTACGGCAGCTCCTTCGGTCTGTGGGTGACAAGAGGCAGCAGGCAATGAGGAGAGCAGCTTGCTGATCACACCACAGAGGTTTTTCTTTCAGGGAATAAAAAGGTTCAGCCAGCCATGAGGTGCAAGATCTCTTCAGGAGTAACTGGCCGAAGAGAGACAGGCCACCAGCACACAGGAGTGACATGGAGAAAAAGGGAGAGATCAGAGAACACAGGACAGGGTCTTACAGGAGTGGGAGGGAGCAGAAGGAGAGAAAAGAGCATCAGAATGGGAATTTGTACACTATGGGTTAGTACAGGTTCAAAAAGGAAGAAGAAACCTCGAATCCTGTGTCCAGTTCTGGGCCCCTCACAATAAGAAAGACAATTGAGGGGCTGGAGCATGTCCAGAGAAGGGAACAGAGCTGGGAAAGAGTTTGGAGCACAAGTCTGATGAGCAGCTGAGGGAGCTGGGGGGGCTCAGCCTGGAGGAAAGGAGGCTCAGGAGGGACCTTCTGGCTTCCTACAACTCTCTGAAAGGAGGGTGGAGCCAGGTGGGGGTTGGTCTCTTCTCTCAAGTAATAAGCACCAGGACAAGAGGAAATGGCCTCAAGTTAAGATTGGATATGAGGAAAAAGGTCACCAAAAGGGTTGTGAAGCATTGGTGCAGCTGCCCAGGGCAGTGGTGGAGCCCCCATCCCTGGAGGGATTTAAGGGACGTGTAAATGTGGTACTTGAGGACATGGTTTAGTGGTGGCCTTGGCTAATGGTGCTGAGCTAATGGCTGGACTTGATCTTAGAGAGCTTTTCCAACCCAAAGGATTCCATGAAAGTGCTGCTACACTGGTACAAGACAGTGAATAACTGGGGAAAAATAAAAATATCTCCTTTTTCTACCCTAAGAACAGCACAATCATCCGTTGTCTTTCCCATGCTAGAAATGACTAGAAAGGATGTCAAACAACTTGATATGGGACAATTAAAATGAGAAACCATGTAACAGAACACGCAGACATATTGGATCAGATGTTTAGAAAGGTTGACCAGAATTTATGACAAATGTGACCAGTTCCAAGATCCTGGTAAGAGTACACATTTTTTTCATAACTCTAACCCTACAATTCTATACTGTGCACACACAAGCAGAATACTCTCCCCCAAAAGCTTTCAGTGTCTGTATAATCTTTTTTTTATCTAAAGTAGCAGCTTAAAACCACCAGATTAAGTGATCTAATCCAGGGACTCAGCATGGAGTAGAAATGCCCATTCTCCTATCACGATTTTATAAAAGGAGCTGCTGAATGACTTCCAAAGTCACTAAGGCAAGAAGACAGTAAGAACCATGGAGTTTTCCCCATCTCCCCCACGGGAGCTGAATGCACATCTTTCCATATGGAAATGAGTGATGAAATCAAATCAACCACTTTATGTGTCACTTCTCACTGTTTCTTTAATCCGTTTTGTAAAGTGACACGTACTGCGGTGCTGGAATCAAAACAGGAAATGGGAACAAATTCCTGGAATAAATAAAAAAACATGCCTACTGGATAATATTCAAAAGGCAGAGGAAATAAGATTTTAAGGGTAGCAAGCAATGTATATATACAAATTACTTCCAGAAACACTGATCACCTCAGGAAAAACCTCTTTTCCCCTCCCAGGAGCTGCTGAATATTGACAAGCCAAAAGGCAGCATGAATAAGTTTCTACTCATTTTCTACCACACAACCAACTATAGACTTGTGACATTTCAGAGAGTTTACAATTCAATTAAAGCTCCCAAAATACACATCAGTATGCTGGAATTAAAACAAAGGCCTACTCTTCACCCTTAGGAGTACAAAAGCTATTTTATCTGGACCTGCAGGTAAATGACTGTTTCTAAAGCAAAGTGAACTTCACAGTGGGGAGAAATATGTGATAAAGCATTGGACACTGTAGAGCTTTTGAAAACTGAATAAAAACGAGGTTTAAGAGGTTCAAAATTTTAACTGAGAACAGTTTAAGCTTCTTTAAGACAAGGATTTGTTGAGCCCTTACCTCTTTTGTCTCCTCGGGGTCCGAGTGATCCACAGTCACATACAGGTCATTCTGCAGGTACTTCAGTGCACTAAGAGGGTCAGTCTGAGCTTTTTCTTCAAACCTGAAGAGACAGAAAACTTGAGCACAGCCACTTCCTTCAGGGCTAAGTACTACCAGTTCTACAAAGAGCAAAACCCATCTATCAAAACCAGCATTTCCAAAGAAAACCACGTTAGTGGCAGCTCAGCCTGTAATTTGCGGGAATACAGACTGAAACGTGGAGGAGGATTTTTTTGGGGGGAGTGTAAGGGAGTCACACTCTTACTGAAAATATTCAAAAGCATACGTACAGCAAGTTCTTGATGTGTATATATAAAACATTTTAAGTTTGTTTGGTTTGTAAGGTGTGAGTAGCACAGTTCAGACACAGGCAAGCCCTGAGCACTTCAGTCCCAGGGATATTTATATTCCACCTCTGGGAAGAGCACAGGTACCTAAAAATCCTGTTCACCACCACCATTATTTCCCCATTGTCTTTCAACAAACAGAAACTGTAACTTCTGTGAATTCCCTGAAGAAGTTAATAGAGCCCTGAGAAAATGATTCTGGGCTCAACATCCTCAGTGAGCAGAGCTATGACCCTGCAGCATTGTTTGGGTGCATAAGCCTAAAAAGGATGAGGTTTAAAATGATCTTTTCCCTTCTATTACCTATCCAGCCAGTGCAGCATCATACTGTCGTCTTCTCATATTGTTATTGTTTTGTTTGGGTCATTTACTTGGCTATTTATATCACAGTGGACATGTGTAGCCCAAATTTTGAACCTGGCTAAAGATGCAACTCCAGCCAAGCACCCACCACACCTCGGCTGGTCAGGTTTGGCTCCCTCACAGGGAACCCAAAAATGAGGGAGCATGGTGCATAAACCCCAAATTTCTGCCAGACAATACACAGCAACACTTCCTTTGAGTGCAATTTAAGCAAGTAAAAACAAATACTCCAGAGCTGTCCCTGGAGGCTGCACAGCTGCATTTCCATACCACCACATCTGGGTTTAATAAGCTTCCCAGATAACTGGGCAAGGCCTTTATTAATTTTTGTAGGTATTCACATCTACTGTGTGGCTGATCTTAAAAGGCCCCATCCAGCACAGTGGTTGTGAGTTGAGTGCAGAAATTTTCTTGCAGCCTCAGAGGTAAAATACCATCAGGAAAACCTGACCTCTCAGCTCTTGGCAGAACCTGATAACAAAGTATTCTCCCCAGGAATGCAGGGAGAGCTATTTATTGGCTTCAAATAATTTGCTGGGTCTTGAAAGGCTGTTTTCTGCTGCAATTTCTTGACTAAGGCAACACCCTAAGCTTGATTTTGAAAAGCTGTTGCCCTAAATAGCAAATATAAGGCAGCTCTGAAGAATGCAGAGTGCAAGAAGCATTGCTTTGTTGAATTCTGCCTAAGTGAGCTCTTTCAGGAGTTTCTGAATGAGAAACTCTGATGACCTCACCACAGTTGAGTCTCAGATGTGCAAAGGCATCCAGCCCCCAGACTTCATTAGCATCCTTGTGAGCTGTTACTATCTCCTAGCACAGTGTTTCCAAAACATACTCCATTTCCTTGGGAGGTGACAGCACCAAAACACATGTTGATGAGCAGCAGACTGAAAAGGGAATCTAAAAATTCCCCATGACTCCCCCCACACCACATTTTTCTAGTTTTAGAATAACACAGTCAAAGCAGAACGAAGTTAATTTTGTAGTTTAGTTCTGCCCTGCTGCGTTTTATTAAAATAATTTTAAAAAATAACCCAGAAACCTGCAGACCATCATAGCATGGTTTGGGTTGGAAGGGACTTTGAAGATCATCTACTCCATATAACCAATAAAATGACATTTGCCAAAATGGTGTAAGATATTCCAAGTTTCACCAACTTAAAAAAAAAAAAAAAAGGAGACATTTGGAAAAGAAAATTGCAAACCACCTTTGTTTCTATACCTGTGCTTTCTGATGAGGTATTTGCAGTGTCTTAGCAGGTATTCCTTTGAAGGTCGACAGAGCTTCAGAGACCAGAAATCATCTAATCTCATCTTGGGAGAGCAGGATTTACCAGGATTCCCTCCAAATAAGTAATGAACCTAAGGAAATGAGAGGCAGATCAAAAAGGTGATTGATTGTGTGCATGCACTGAACAAGGACAATTCACTACGTCAGTAGCTTTGGAGAGGTTTATTCTTGAGGGAGAAATTCTGCCTTTTAGTCAAGTTGCTCCATCTTTTTATCAGCCTCATCTTCTCCCTCAGGAGATGAAGAAAGTTCTCTTAAGCCACTTACATTTGAAGACAATAAAAAAGCTGCACTGTTAGAACCTACCTCTAGCAGATTCCTGAGGTATTTATAAACAAACATCCCAAACCCACACATACTCTTTCTTTAGGAAAAACCTATGAGCATGATAGATCCTTAAGCACCAACCAAGTGAGTGGGAAGTCCTAAAGATGCTCAAAGTAAAGTGACAGCAAGCCCAGTCCAGCATAATCCTGGGAGATGATCAACGTCCCCACATGTCCCATAAATTCTAAAGAGCTTTAATTCGACTTGTCTGTCTCTGAGATGCAAGACTAGACTTACAGAGAGAGGCAAATTTCCACAAGAGTGGAAGTGTTACAAAAAGGACTGTTTATTTCTTCACTGTATTTTTCTTCCCATCGTTTGGTAATTTCAGACTCTGAACTGTTGACATTAAACACGCTACAAAGGATCTTCAAATACTGAGGTTTAACAAGTCCAACAGGCTACCTTTCCCCACAGCTTTAAAAATAATCACTCAAAAGAATGTATTCTGCATCCCACTGCTGTAGGCTCTCCTTATTTATATCAGAGGAGTTTAGAAAGGTCATTGGAACAGAGGTTTCTAAAAATAAAGACTCTTCAAAACAAGCACATCAAACAGCTCGTCAGATAAAGCTGGGCAACTGCAATGATTTAGCAACCTTCAGAGTAACTTACAAAATACTACTCTCAGTCTCAGGGTACCTTACAATTAGAAGTAAAGGCAGAGCAGAATTTACAGTCAGTGTTACAAGTCTGTGAAGTCAAAAAGCAATGCAAGTTCTCCATATGGAATTTGCATCTATTCTTCCTTCAAATCTCCCTTATCCCCAAAGTTTTGGGCTAGTTGGGTTTTCCAGATTTGATTGCCATCCTATGGAGTGCAAGACTAAAATATATTTCTGTTCTTCAATTCAGACTAAAAAGAATTTCTAGAAAGAGTTTAACTGGAAAATATCCATGAAAGGTTCAGTAAGTTTCTCACAGTAATTTAAATTCATGGATTGATGTATTTATGAACCTAATCTGTGGGTTTGTGCTTTACTGGTTAATATGCACAAAACCCTAAGTTTACTGAGCAGTCAGGTACACTAAAACCAATTTTTAAGTCTATTTTTAAGTCTATGAATGTGTCTGATAGTGCTAAACAATGACAGTTGCTTCTGACATGCAGGGTCCAGTCAGGCACCTCTGGCACAGAAGATTCTCAACTGAGATTAGTTCATTCAGATTTTTCCTAAAAATGTTGGTAACTGAGACCATTTAGTCACTAACAGATTGTAAGATTAAGTCCCTGAAGATAATGAAGATTCACTTGTTTTGAAGTGTGAGAACAGCTCTTGTATCTGCTTCGTAGTGACATAAAAAGAAGCTCAGCATTTTATTTCAAAATATGGGAAGTTAAATGAAAGTTACTCACCATATTAATCCAAACATTAGCACTAAACAAAAAACCTATATTCATTGTACCACCTTTGAGGAAACAACTACATCTTAAGAGCCGTAAGACTGAAAAAATCATGTATTTATCTGGACCCTCATACCTTGTGCAACTCATCATACACCAGCTGATGGGCAAACCTTGGGCAGGGCTCCTCTTCCTGGAGGCTTTTACCTGGGTTCTCTTTTGCTGCTTGGTCATTCTTATAGACACATGACCTGAAATACAAAGCAGTAAATAATGGTTAGCAGGACTTAAGAGGAAGTAGGAAAAGTTGCTGAAAGGCTTTAAGGTACAAATGGTGTATAACACCAAAGATTTTCTTACTTCTCTACACGTTGTCCTCTATTATCCCATCCCCACTCTTAGCTCTACAAAAGAAACCCATCCAACAATCAGAGGTCACCTTGGCTGAACACAGTCCTCAAGCATAAGCCAAAACCAAGAAAAAATTCTAAAAAATTATCTGCCATGAGCTTTGGGAGTATCTTTAGATGTTACATTATCTGCCCACAGAATTGTCAGCATGAAGTATTTTTTATTATGGAGAAAAACATCTTGGACTCAGAGCTTTAGACCATGGATTGCAGAAAAGCTGTAATCACTTAATCAATCACTGATTTCCAAGCAGACTTAAGTTGTAACTGAAAATCCATTTTTAGAAAACAACATTCACACCTTTCAAAGTGATTGACCCCCACATTAGAAGAGACCTTGAATACAAAAACTCTGCCAGCTCTGAAAAGGGACACTGGAAACCAGAACACAGCAAACAGACCAGGATATCTTTCTCAGAATAGTGGATATGCCATGGACACTTCTCCATCACCATTCACATGCACCAGTTTTCCTTAGTTTTTAATAACTGGCACCATGTACCAGTTATCAACTGCATCAGTATTATCAACTTACATTGGACTGAATTTGCTGCACTGATGATGAATCCTGGCCTTGAGCACTTCCTACAGGAAAAGCCTTTTATAACTGCTCACTTCCCCTTGTCCCCTCCACCTGGCTCCAATAATTCACATGGTTTCTCTCTCTCATTTGGGAGATTATTGCCATGGCGTATTTAAAGACTATGGGGAAAAAGAGGTGCCTCAGGGGAACTTAGTTGTCTTCAACATCATCATTCCAGGGTCAACAGAGGTTACAATTCCTTGGGAGACAGGATTGCTTTCCAAAGAAAGTCAGTGTAGAAGTTAGAATTTATGACTTACCAGCTGTTCCTCACAATGTCATAAATCCAGAATGAATTCCTTACATTCTCTTCCCGCTTCTCCTTGTCTTTACTGAGCCCTGACAAGACGTGGATTTCGTTCAGTTCCGGATCAATGGTGGCCCTTTGAGTGAAACCTGTCATTGGAACTGACAAAAGAAAATAAAGGTTACACGCTAGAAATAATGGAGGACTCGGGAAGGGATCCAAGCATCAGGCAAACGCATTTCCCTCTCCCTGCAACTCAGCAGATTATCATCCAGAGGCTGAATCCTTCCCTGCTAAAGCCAAGTCCAGTGCAAATTCTCTTCTTCCCTTCTTATCTGTGACTCGTGGAAGGAAACAAAACATTCTGCGAGCTGCTGTTTCGTAGAGAAAGATACGGAGAGAGCTATTTGTGAGACTACAAATAGCTCAGAAATGAGGATTAAGCTGCCTAAACAACAGAGCTAAATGACCAGATGACCCTTGCAAATACGAATGGAGTTATTTTGTTATTATCTCATCCATAAAAGGAAGCATTGATTCCAAAAAGCTTAACTGCAAAAGCTGGGAAACTCCAAAAAATTCAAGAGGAACTCACAGCTCATGGCCCTGCATTGCTTCCTCCAGGATGAAAATGCCAAGGAAGACTTTTGTATTTTCCAAATAACTGTGGTGCAATTACCAAACTATTCTTCTGTTCTACCTTCGGATCTGGAGATATGGTGAAATCCTGCGGATTCCAACAGTTTTCATCACAATTCCCCGAAAAAAGGTCAGCAAATTTGCTTGGCAGTCCTTTTTGTTTGTTGTATAATTCCCCATTTCCTGTTTCCCTAGGCAACCATCCTCCCAAAATGTATTTGGGAAGGGCACGTGATCTTTGTTTACAGATCCTGTTTGTCTCCTTTCTCTTTCTGGGTCAGTTTACAAAGGCTGGTGAAGGTTCCTGGCCTTCGGTCAAGATTTTGGCATGAAAAATTCTCAGAACTCTCCTATTTTGCAAATTCTTCCTTGCAATTAAACTAAACTGCACCCACGGCCTAGGAAACGGGCCCTAGGCTAATAAACCATTTAATATTGCTGTTTCAGAAGACACAAAATGGTATTTTGGAAGCCCATTCCATCACAGGTTTCATTCTCATACCTCACTCTTTTCATTTCCTAGGCCAGGGAAGTAATAAACTAATTAAGAAATTCTGGGTAGAATTTGGTTTTCTGCAATTTAAGGCTCTCCTGAAGCGTTTGTTCACACCACAGAACCCAAGTATTTCTTTAAAAAAATTAAAAATGGTTAATTCTTATGTAAAACTAAGTAGAAACTGGAATATATTCAGATAATTCATTCTCAGTGTCCCATCGACAAAATCCTTCCTTGTGGTTTCACAAACCTGCCTAGTTTGACCTCAGATTTTGCCACAGGGTTTTAAAGGAAAATTATTCTTGTTTAAAAGCAAATGGGTGGCAGAGAAGAGGGGAAAAAAAATCAGGGAATAAGGCTGGAGCAATGACTACACACCTTGTTTTACCTGCAAACCACAAAGACAGTAATTTAATAATTATGTCTTTTTAATAAGAAATGAGGAGTGAAAGTCAGCCCATAAGGAAATTGAGAATAAAAAGACAATTATAGAGTAAATATTGCCAATTTTTGAAAAGTATCATGTAATATGCTGCTGCCATAGTCAGGGACTAAATTGCTGACCCAGAAGGATTCAACTCAAGGCCTATTTGAGACATTTCTGGCAGCAGAGCCATCTAAATTTGATCAGCAATGCTAATGTAGATGGAAAATGTCTTTGCAACCCTATCTGCTGCTTTGAACATTTGAGACCATGCCGGGAATACTAGAAAAAAAAAAAAATACAAACCATGCAAACCCTCAGAGCATTAATACCTCAAGCTCATTGAAATGAAAATTATTATAATCATGAGGAAGACGGTCCTTCTATTACCACTGATACCAAAAGCATCTGAAACTTGTCTTTGGCAGTCCCATCCCTCCTCCTGAAATGTTGTTAAATAAATGAATGTTGTATCTCGTTTATGCTCGATTTCCTGAAGCCGAAATTATTATTTAAATAATGAAGGAGGGAATAGCTGCCAAAGTTCAGCGCTGCTGGTTTTTTTTTCCCCTCTTGATATTAAGAACAGAATTCATCTGCAGCAACTGCAATCAAACCTCAATTCAAGTCAAGTAATCTCAGGCTTCCCTCAGTCTCTTCTTGACTGTTAGAAATGCAGAATGTCTAGAAAAATAGCAGAAACATAAAACCTTCCAGTTACTAAGGGCCTAAGACAAGGAGCAACTTACATAAAACTCTGTGACCTATCTAAGCAACTGTGTAGAAACCATATTTAAGCAGTGCCTTAGGCTGGAAAAAGTTGACATCAAGTCTTCTGCAGAGGAAGAAAAAACTAGAAAGTTCAATGTAATATGATTAAAAACCCCACAAGACAACAAAAATTTGGTAAACAAGTCCCTGAAGATAAACAGAAAATAAGACAAGATACTACACAGTGAGCACGAGATGCTGTGATGTTTTAAAACCAACAGAAAAAGATGTTTTCCAAGAAGGTCTGATCCTTGACAAGAGCAAAAGGGCTCCATAAAATCCTCAGGACTGAAATACTTCCACTAGAGGGTAAGAGAGGTTCATCATCTGCAAGCGCAGCAGGCTGGCAGGAAATGCTGGATATAATTCAAACAAATGCAGTCGGAGTATTAGAGAGGGACACGGGCTGGAAACCTCGGAAAAATACTTGGGATATTTAGGTAACAAAATGTACGTTGGGAAGGGAATTTAACTGAACCAACAAAACTGAACCTATAAAAATGAACCTGCAACAGTGGCAGTAACTGACTGCTTACGATGCATTTGGTTTCATTTTAGGACTTGGAGGAAAAAAATCCTAAACAACAAGGGGTGAGAACCAGAGCCCTGCATGACCTGCTGTTTGCAATGTATTAGATCCAAGGGGTGAATAAAGTGGTAGGAATGGCTCCATGGGAGTTCCCTCACTTCTGCTTCTTCACAGAGATGTAAGATCAGATTTGGAGCAAACCTGCACTGATTCCACACCTTTCAGGGCACCTCTGGGGTCAGCTGTGGGCAGCCAGCTCGAGGGACAAGGCAGTGACTGAGGGCTAAGGTCTGTTTTGAACACTGGCCCGTGTTTACATGACTTTAACTTGGCTCCTATGACAACAGATCACTTTGAAGAGGAAAAGCTGTAGAGAGAAACCACTAAACACAATCCCAAAAAGTCTAGTAGATGGTAAATGTTTTTCCTGTGCCTCTGCATATTTTTTTTCCCCCTTTAATCTTATCAACCAGCCCAGGGTAGAAGGGCAGTAACTAACTGAAAATAAGAAGTCTGAATCCTTATAGTATTTTAATTTATTTTTATACAGTAAAAATCAAAAGCTCATGGCCTCAATATCTGAGAACAATATTCAGCCGCACGGGCCTCGAGTTTGCAGCCAGTTACATAAACAAGCAATAATTCCTGAGCAAGCTTCCATGAGATGCTGTGGAGCTCTGTGCAATGTAATTTCCATTTAAATATAACACATGGGAAAAGCTTTTCTCTGAAAGCGACACCTAATCGTGCAACAGCCACGTTCCCACTACCACAGTCCCTACATACAGGAATTTATTGGATCACAGTGATCATTTCAGAAAGATGAATATTTTTTGGCTCTTGTGTGCAAACAACCACAGTCGTTTCTAGCACAGCGTTGGCTGCTGCCAGTATTGAAGCAAGAAAACAGCTTTTACACAGAGACAGAGCTTGAAAAGCAGGAAATCGGAGTTCATGGAATCCTAGGATGGTTTGGGCTGGAAGGGATCTTAAAGACCATCCAGTTCCCACCCCCTGCCATGGGCAGCAACACCTTCCACTAGCCCAGGTCCCGTCCAACCTGGCCTTGAACACTTCCAGGGATGAGGCAGCCACAGCTTCTCTGAGCAACCTAAAGTGGAACTAATGGTTTCACAGATATTCTCGTGGCACCAGACAGAATTTTGGAAAGGAAAGCTCATCTCTCACATCAGAGGGAACACTACGGCAAGTTTTTAAACATGCTTTGAAATGCAGTAATGGCAAACAAATTATATAAGTTTATAGTCTACAGACTGTGTCATGAAGGGTAATTAAAGGAAGCCTTTTAGTGCCACCTGAGTTATGAAACCCTCAGAACATGTGATGCCAATCCCACTGCAAATGACTCGCAAGTACCTCCCTCCTTGTGATGCCTCGTGATTACAAAATTGGGGAAAAAGCTCCATCACATGGATATTGCTGTTCACCAGAACCTGGCGCTTCCCAATGGATTAATTTTTTAAAAAGTGGTAGGTCTGCAAATTACTCCATGGCATTCCTTGTAATTCCTATAAGATGGAAGCAGCACCTCCCCTGAACTCCAGTGTTGAGTGACAGCACACAGGCCAGCTGTTGACACAGCAAGATAATGATTATCCTCTTGGATTTTTCCTGATGAGACTGCAGCTGGCAGCCTGCCAAGGAGCAGCTAAGGAGACCATCCGAACAGTTTGGCTGTCATGTTGCCAAAGCAACAATCCAATGTCCAATGCTCAGTTCGCTCTGAGTTTTTGGAAAAAAATAGGTCAGTCAGTAAATCTGAATGGAGCCCTGAGCTGTGGTACCTCTGCAGGGCATCCTTGGGATTTGAGGACTCTCCACTCTCCTCCTCACCTTCACAGGCAGAGGAAAGGATTTTGGGACTGAGAAGCACCTCACAAGATGAAAGCAGGCACAGTCCCTCACAAAACAAAAGTGCTTCCGTGGCCAGGGATGTGCTGGTCACGGCAAGGTAGATCTTGCCTGAGCACAGGCAAAACATGTCAGGTGTCACAAACAGGTGATCAAAACAGAACATTCCAGCTGTTTGGCTGAGCTGGATCCTGGCCATGCTGCTGTACTATTTTGATTCAGGTTTTTCTGACTTTGCCTTGTTTCTAACCATGCTTTCCTGGGCTGAGCTGTGTCGCCTCTGTCCGTGGTACTTATCCATGAAATTCCCCATCCCTCAGGTGCACAGTTCTGTATCTGGAACAAGCACCTGCCCAGCAAAACATGCAAGATCTTCACTGTTAGCTAAAAAACTACTTGTAGATTGCCCAAAGAACCGTTCCACCATTACAAGGAGCCACAAGAAGGTTTAAGGCTTGTTCACATTTGACTTTGGACATTATTTGATGCCGAGGGATAAAAGGTGATGTGCATTCTTGTGGAGAAGGACATTCTCCCTCTGACCAAGAGCTCTGACACACCACCTGAGTCAGGGCCAGAGGGGATTATAACAAGAACCTTGACCACAGTGTTCCCATTAGCTTCCTTAGACATGGAATGACTGTCCATGGTTAGTCATGGATTGTGCATTAAGCGAGTCAGAAATAGTCATTCCAGCCCTGGGGAGACACCTGAGACTGGTGGCATCTCTAGACCCTCTCTGTACTTCAGAGGTACACTCTGGAATATCTTCTTGGGGCTTGGTGGGGATTTTTTTTGTTGGCTGTGTGTTGTTTATGTGCTTTTTAAAGCGATTAAGAGTATAAAACTGCCTTTCCTCCAACCACAGGCTCTATCCAACAGTACTAAACTTCCTCCAGTCTCCACCACTACTACCTTCCTTCACATCCAACACATCATCACAGTTCCATGTCTAAATTTGCTAAAATTATGTCCTTTACTCCAAGTTAAGAAATTTTAACTGCTACTTATCACCCACTGTTTTCAAACATGTCAGCAGTACACAGAACTGCTTGAAAGATCAACATCACAGGCAAAAACAAAAGCAAAGAAACAGCATAAATATCTCACCCAGAAGATGAGAGCAGCAAAACCAACACATCATCACCACAGTTTTATAGCATTGCAACAACTCTGTGTTACTGATAATCCTCAGTGATACGTTTTACCACTTTTAATAAAATCTTCTCACTACTCCAAGACATACTCGAACAAATGCACAATTAGGTTCTTTTAGAAAGGGTAAAAATCAAAATAGCTCAACTAAGAATAGAACTGAATGCCACATGTGAGCCAGGAACAAAATGTAATCATGGGACTTTATAGGAACATTTAGGTCAGGCATCCTCAACTTGACTCATCACACCGAGCAGCTTAAAAACTTCACAGCGACCAGGCAGGGAATCACTTTGTTCAGACAGATCAAAATGGTGCATCAGTACCTAACAAGAGCACAATAAAGACTTGCTTTTTTTCGGGTGAAAACAGTGCTGTCAACATTTGCTGTCTGAACGTAACAAGCATTTTGTTCCCTTCCTGTTAAAATGCAAATTATTCCAGCATTTCCTTTCAAAAGCAATGGGAATGTTCAGATCTGTTTGTTTACTCCCTGCACACAGGAGAACAGTAAACTGAGAGATCGACTCGTGAATTATGTCCAATGAGTCATTTTCTTACCAAAAAAAAAAAAAAAAAAAAAAGGTCTTCTATTCACCACTTCAGGGCCTGTGGGAATGGGGAGGAGGGCTAAAAATTATAGTCTCTCTTACTCAGCTGAGCCTTGCAGTTCATATACTCTGAAAAGCAGAGCTCAGTGTCTTCTCCAGCTGTTAAGACAAGCTCAGTATCTTTTAAAATCTGAAGCAGACACAGGTGTCAGCTTAAAGCCACATGTTTTAAGGCTTCTGGCTACGAAGAAATGTAGTTTGAAAAGATCAAAATGGCAGAATGCTGGCAATTTCCTGGAAAAAAAAAAATCAATTCTTTAAAAGCTCTGAGGATAACAAACAGTGCGTGGGTGTGTGTGGAGCAGCATCAGGCAACACGCAGGCACCTGAATAAAGAGGACTGTCAACAATCCAAGCTGGTTCCTTCTTGGAAGCACTCAAGTAAATAAATGACTCCAGAGAATAAGAGCTTGGGTACTTTTCTCCCTTGTTGGCATAACTAGATTAACAAGCAAACAATAACTCGTAACCATCAATAATTCACTTCAAACATTCAGCAAAATTACTTGCTAAAAATGAAGCCTGATCAGAAGAAGGAAGGCAGCCTAAATTCAAGATAAATTAGGTTCCTGGGATTTTGGTAACTGGGAGAAGAGAAAACAAGATCAGGACTGAATATAAATAATATTGAGAAATACTCCCATGGTAGTACACAGTGAGACTCTAATTTCAAATTCTGAGTTGTATGATGAAAATCAGGGTATTTGTAACAGGAAAATGATGTGTTTATACAAGCAGAAATCCTTTTTGAAAAAACAAGAACATTTTTCTCTGTCATTTGAGGAGAAAAGGTATAAAATCAGTTCTTTATGGCTCTGTTACAGGCCTTTTGGGTGTTTCTAAAAGATTTCTGTCATACAGAACTCTGCCTGGGGTATACAGCTCCAGTGTTATATGAACCAAACAGAGCTGAAGCCTTGCTCCCTCCTCCTACCTTTTTTTTTGGCACTTCCTGATATTTGTTACAAATGTAACAGGACAACAGGTTAGTCTCATCTTTCTGGTCAGCTCCTGTCAGCCAAAAGAACTTCTGTCCCTCCAATTCTCTGTCTCTGAGCATCCTCTCTGCCTTTCTGCATCTCAAACCAAGCAGATTTTATGGTATCTCTCACTTAGCGAAAACGGAAAAATAAAGATTTACTTTCTCCTTTCCAGATTTAAAGAAAAAATTTTTCAGGATTTTTTTTTTTTGTCTTTGCTAGAGTTTCAAAAGAGGTCTTTTTAATTCTTATTTTGCTCTTTGTTTTGGTTTGTTTTTTTTTTCTTTTGAGGTGCTATATGGTTTCATGCATCAATTATTTGTATTGAGCTGAAGGTGGTGAGTGTCAAATGACAGAAAGGACAGAAGAGCTGGCATAAGTTTAACCTAAATACTGTGGAGTTTACTTGGGTATGGAGGGCTAGTTAAGGATGCCAACCTGATCCCACAAGACACTGGACCTGGCCTCTCACCTATATATTTCTCCTACAATATTTCCCTTTTCACAACTTATTTCTCATTTGTACCAATGGAAAGAAATGATCATGAAGATCTCCTCTTACCCATCCCTGAATCTTTCTTCGTGCCATCTGATATAATGTCCACGTGGTCACTGTCCACATCATAGCTGAAGAAGTCATTCAAGTAAGTCTTTGATCTCTGGCCACCAAACACGTACAAGCAGCGATTTTTCTGGAATGAAGGGGGGAGGGAAATAAAAAAGTCTTTACAAAATTCAAGGAATTATGTTGGTCAACTGTGACCATTAATCATAAAATCACAGAATGGTCTGTCTTGGAAGGGACCTTCAATATCATACAGTTCCAATCCTCTGCCATAGGCAGCGACACCTTCCACCACACCAGGCTGCTCCAAGCCCTGTCCAACCTGGCCTTGGACACTTCCAGGGATGGGGCAGCAATTAATGAATCAAAGAAGAATAGAGATGTTTCTTCTAAGTTTAAAATCACTGTAAGTACTGTAGCCCTGCCTCATCCAGCTTTAACTCCAGAACATTAAAACACCAGTTCATCTTTCAAGTTTAACATTAAAGAATTAACAGTCCCTGTGCCTAAAACTCATCAGATCATAATTTCACTGTTAAAAACAGGACAGGAACAAGAGACAGACTGTAGGAGAAACCCTCCAGGTACCAGCACATTACTAAGTTCACAACAGGCAAATGGCAAGCAGAAAGCCAAGAATAACAGGTTTATTACTTCTTTCAAGTTTGCCAAGTGGAAAGTCTGTAAGAGGCAGATTATTATTCTTTCAAATGGTTGAGAAAACAGAAAAGGACTTAAACTTCCACGACCTGTGCTTACAGAAACCAGTATTCTTACATTTATCACAGACACACACTGGAAAGATCCTCAGGTGCCTGTGCAGAATTTTGTGTTGCAATATGTTTTTCATCAGATTTTAAAGAGCTATTCAAAACCAAAATAAAATTGAAGGCTCTGAAAGCCCAGTATTCACTCTAAAAATTCTGATCTTTCATTGGAAAGGGAAAGAGAAACAAATTCAGTAATTTCTTCAAATTGGTGGGTTTTGAATTGGTGGTATCAGTAAATAATGTCACAACATTAATTTTAATTCTCGTCTCCTGAATTCTCCTCTTTAACTCTCTTCTCTTAAATAAACATGTGGTTGATGAACACAGCTGGAAAGGTAATGGAAGGTGGAGTTTAATGCCTAATACTAAATAAAATGCTATACACACCCCATCCCACCAACTCCTCTGCTTTTCCGTCAGGCTCTGGATGAAGTGCCCGTTATTCCATCTGTGCCCAGCTGTCAACAGCTGCTCAGGACAACAAACTGCAGCTGAGTGCTCAGCACCATGGGCTGTGAGGCCTGTGCAACTCGATGCACACCTACTAAGTCCCATTCCAGTAAGAGTATCTATTAGACCAGAAGCTTCTAAATTGCTCTACCAACTTAAAAAGAACAATTCTTTAAGTCAAATTGAACCATAGCCCTCGGGACTATTTACTATTATTCCACTAAAATTAACTCATTAAAACTCACCTCGTTTCTTACTTGAAATATTACTCAGCTGAACTCATGAAAGCCCCAAGACTCGAATTAGTACCTCCTGCACTTACCAAAGCAGCACCGGAATGTCCACGAACACAGAACTGAGTGAGACAACACACCCCTCAGGCGATTAAAGAGCTTCAAATTCGCAAGAAAAATCAAAACCAGATGTTCTCCTTAAAAGTCAGGCATCATCAATCAAAGCAGGGCGTGGATACTTACAGAATGGAACAACATACAGTGTCCTATCCGGGACTGGATATCCTCGGGTCCAGCATTGCAGGAATCCTCTCGCAGAAGTTTCCATGTCTGGCATTGGCAGTCGAAAGCAAACAACCCACTGAACTGTGGCTCACTGGCTCTGCTGTCATCCACACTGCCATTGCAGGTCAGGATTCGGCCTCCAAAGGTGTAGATCATGTGTTTTTCAGAATCCATACACATCTGCAAGGACCAGAGAAGCAGTTTTAAGCCAGCACATGAAAACTTCAACACTCTGAGATTTAAGACTAAACGTTCCTTTTCTGCAAGCCACACCTAAGTTAGCGCTCTGCACATCTCCTGAGCCTCCAACAAACAGGGAAGAACACACATCTGCATGGTTGTCAGGCATCAATCTCATAAAATTAATTTAAAATGTAATTTCTATGTGCTGTTTAATAAGGAAAAAAAAATAAGTGTACCCTTTATCACCTACGAAAACTTATCTCTAGCTGCTGATTTCAGGGAAAAATATTTTAGAGTCTTTCACAAGGATCCACAGCCAGAGAGTTAACAGAATACCACCTTTGGCAATGGCTGTGCCACGGAAAAATTCAAAATCCCTGCTAATTCACTGCCCACCACTCGGTCGACGCAAAAATCAGCCTGTGATTTGTTACTCTGATTCCATCCCCAGCACACTTTTACTGTTACCCCCATTACCTGAACACAAAGGGGCATAAACCCAGCCAAAGACTCCTGATGGGACTGCAGCAGAAATATGTTTTACCCTCAAGCCTGACTTGAGTTTATGGCACACAAGAAAAGCACTGCAGCACAAATCAAACCGAACTCCCTGACTCCAGGTGATGTTTTTCAGACAGAGCATTACAAAACAGCAGAGGGGGGGGGGAAGCAAACCAACAGACAAGATTACAGTAAGATAGAGATGCTACTCAGCAAAGCCTACACAAAACACCTCTAGTGCAGCACATTTTTGAAGGTTAAATAAAAACTGCCATCGCAGTAGGTGCTGAGGGAGAGGAGAGGAAGAGCTGCAGATTGATAAAGAATTTAGTGAGGACACAGGAGACGGCAAAGGGAAAAAAGGAACCATTTCAGGAGACAAACAAGGTACCCAGAGTGGCCTTGCCAGCTGACAATTTCCTTGTGCCTCTTCCCCAACACCTGGAGACTGGTACTCGTTATTAATAGAACAGAAAGACTGATTGGCTTTTGTTCTGCAGACATGGCGTATCTTTAATTTTCGGTGTCAGCAGAAAGGCACATTGTGCTGGCAAACAACAGCTTTGGTTACAAAACAGCCAGCGCCAATAAAACACATCTTGGGCTGCCTTAAAAATGAGCCCTGATGTGCTGTTTCTTGGCAATGCTTTATAACAAAATCAATTGAGAACAAAATACCTTTTTCCAGTAGACAAAAGCCAGTGAACGCACAACATAAGTAAAGCAGTTGCCAGTCTGCACACGTGGACAGGTGTGGCTTTTTAAGGGATTAGCAGCCACTCCTCTAAGGTGTTTCAATCGTGACAAAGTAAGCACATAACTTAATTTGAAGGAATAACCAAATTTGAAGGAATCCTGCTCTTGTGCTGGCCTCATTCCAGCAGCCTGCTTGGAATATTATTCCAAAGGTACCAAGCACAGCTTTCCAAGTTGCTCCCCAATGGCCTCGAGAAGGCAGATCTGCAAACCCAGCTCAAGGAGGCTGATTAAAACCAGATGAATCGTGCTTTGAGCTTTAATAAAACGTGTCTTAATAAAACTGATTTGTTTGCAAAGGTTTTTATGATTCTTCTGACTCAGTTTGATGAGAATACCAGCATTAAACAGCAATGCCATTAGAATTTAACTGAGGGCACGTCACACCCTCCTCACCCCTTCTCTGGGTTACCTGGTACAGTACTTTCTAAATCACAGATCAAAACTGACTCTCCAGCACCGAGACCTTGCAGGAGGAGTGTGAGTGTGGCTGACCTGATGATCAAACACCAGCTTGGGGCCTCCATCAGCTGCAGTGTCCTCGCTCAGTAACATCCAAGTGTTGGTGTCAATGTCGTAGCGATAGAAGTCACTTTTCAGGGACTTGCTGTTCCTCACGGAGGAATCCAGGTAACGGCCCAGCGTGTAGATCTGCCTTCGCTGGATGTCAATGCACATCTTGTGACAAGATCTGGCACTGGGACCACTCTAAGAGAGAACAAGACCACAAAAATCAGGCAAGCGTAGATTTAATATTGCTCCAGGGAGGTCACTGAGGGCAAATACGTATTATCAGCAACTAGAACTCAGGAAAATCTGCTTGTAATCAAAGACAGGATTAATACATAAGTAACTATAAGAAGACATCCCATTATTTGTCATTTAGAAAGACACGAGCAAAAACTTTAATGCACTTGTCACAACAGACTTGTGACTTGGATCTTTTTTGTCAGATTCCTTAGAAAAGTTTCCTCCAGAAGTGATTCTCAGAGGCCTGCGAAAGCTACTTGAACGTTTAAAGTAACAGAAGTTGATGCACATGAGAGGCAAATTAAGATGTCACAGCCTATAAATAACCACACAGGAAGAAGATTAAGAAGTGCTCTATTACAAGAGCCTCTGTTTTATTAATAGGCTGTTTTCTAACAGATCATAAGCAGACACTCCCACAAGCAATCACATCCCATAATGGGTCTGGGAAGGTAACAAAAGCACTCCCTGTCCTTCACAAATAGATATGGCCCTTCCAGCCTCCAACCAAAAGAAAGTTTCCCACGGTAAGCAAAGCTGCCCTGAGTCATGGTCTTCAAGAGAAACACAGAGAATGCCCCTGGCAAATTATTACGGGCTAATCCACCCAGGAGTGCTCAAGTTAAATCAAGGAGTGATTTATTCAATGACATTATGATGATGATACACAGTACTGGGCAGTGACCTTTCTGCTCCCAAATCTAATTTTAAGGGCCTTCATACACTTATCTTGAAGCACGAGGAGCGATATTCTGGTACTCAAAAATACTAGAAATCAAGATGTGCAGAGCCTTACTTGCAAAATATCGGACAAAAGAAAAACATGGCATCAGGAGTACAGATCAGTTCCACAGTTTATTTAGGCTTAGTTTGTATAATTTTGGCACTTCACAAACGAGGATGCCAGAACAAGGCTGGCTGACCTGAGAGTCTGGAAACCAACATGAACACGGGGAAGATTTGAAGTGACAAAGGAAGGTAAGATGTGCAGAGGACTGAAGTATGAAAGACCAAAAGGTGTGATCAGCAGGTAGAGGGAGCGGATTCTGCTCTTCTACTCTGCCCTGGTGAGACCCCACCTGCGGAGCTGCCTCCAGGTCTGGGGTCCAACAGCATAGGAAGGACATGGACCTGATTGGGTTGGGTCCAGAGGAAGCCACAGAGATGCTCTGAGGGCTGGAGACCCTCTCCTCTGGAGCCAGGCTGGGAGAGCTAGGAGTGTTCACCTGGAGAATAAAAGGCTCCAGGGAGACCTATGAGTGTCTCTTCCAAGACCTAAAGAGGCTCCAAGAGAGCTGGAGAGGGACCTGGGACAAGGGATGGAGTGACAGGACAAGGGGGAATGGCTTCAAACTGACAGAGGGCAGGGTTAAATTGCATATTGGGGAGAAATTCTTCCCTGTGAGGGTGGTGAGGCCCTGGCACAGGTTGCCCAGAGAAGCTGTGGCTGCCCCTGAATCCCTGGAAGTGTCCAAGGTCAGGTTGGCCAGGGCTTGGAGCAACCCGGGATAGTGGAAGGTGTCCCTGCCCATGGCAGGGGGGCTGGAACTGGATCATCTTTAAGGTCCCTTCAAACTTAAACTGTTCTATGGTTCTATAAAAATAATCTATTAAAAACTACAGAAAAAATAAAGATTATACAAGTAGGCAAACATGTAGCAATTCACCATTTATTAGGAAACTTAAAGCCACAACAATTAATCAGCAGAATATTTGTTCCATGTGCTCCCAACTACTGATTTATGAAAAAAATGTATCTTCATAATTGTACCTTTTCACTCCAACAATTCTACTGAAATTTAAAGTATGCTGATGGAACGTGCATCACTAAATTGGATAAAACATGAAAGGAAGCATTACATCTCTGCAGTCAAAAGCCTTTACTATTCATCTTACAGAATTCAATTTCTCAATTAAACAATGGTTCCAGGAAACTGTTTACAGTAGCTCAAAAGACAAAGTGAAGAGGTGAACTGAATTGTTCATATTTTGTAAATATGAAGCATTATGTCAGCAGTGATTACAGCTCTGAGGATTAGTTACTTCATGGTAATTAAGATAATTTTCTTTTCTGAAAAGAAAAAAGTACTGATAGCAGTGAAATAGTACCATAAAATCCTGAAATGCAGCAAAAGCTCATTCATTGCCTTTGGTCACATGGAAGATGATAGGGAAGGCAACAACATAATTTACTTTGTTACTAGAAAACACAAAATAGTACCTTCCAGAGGACCCTGTTCCAAACACACGGGGGAGTTTCTCTGCATGAGAAGCACCAATCTGTGTATTCACCAAGGCTGCCCCTGACTCACAAATAGGTCACCCCAGTATGCAAAGTCCATCCCAAGCCCTGCAAGCTGGGACACTGAAGGATATGGCACCAGCCCTCTGCCAGCCAGCACATATTTGCCTTGGCACAGCTGCCCTGTAGGTGAAATGTGAAGACCCACCTGTGCTTTCTGACCCTCTGTCAGGTCACTGCAGTTTTTTAATTGAACCAGATGATTTAAGTATCATCCCCCCCACTGCCTCACCTCCTTTTTGTACTAAAGTAAATTCTCCCAAACTTGCTCAAATAGCATTCTTTGGCTGTTTGAAGAATAAATCTCCAATTTAGCCATTTGAGACCTGCCTTGCCAAGAAAAGCTGCATCATCAACCCAAATTTGTCTGAGTACAGACATGAGGCTGAGACACTTCACACACAATACCCATTTCAAGCCATTGGCAACAACGACACAGTTGCTACACCAAGTATACAAACAAAAGAATTTCCTAAGACTACTCTAAAATGAGAGAAGAATCAAGGATAAATACCTACTTTCTTGAATTATATCCACACCACATCTCACACAGTAATAGCTCCCTTTTTAAAGAGCTATTAAGGTTTTCAGATTGATCATTTCATCAAACTTCATCAGCTCGAGTTCACTCAAGAACAGAGCCTGCCATAGCGTGAACTACCTCTTGTAATAAAGAAAACTTCATCCAATTCAAAATCTGTTGTCAAAGAAAACTGAAGTTCTGCCTGCACACCACTCACAACATCACATGGAACCTGTCAAAAGTTTCCTACTGAGCCTACAGGTTTACCAGTATGAGTAAATAAGTCCATCAACAGTGGTACACGTTGGTTTGACATTTGAGGCAGAAGAGGGGAAAGGCCAAATCTGTGTTCACTTGAGAGCTACTCGACCATGGAAGTCCTTGTAGTACGAACATACTTCAAAGGGGTACACAGAGTCCATTTACAGAGACACTGCAAATGACTAAAAACACTTCAGGGCACATGTGGTTGCGTGAATCAAGTGCCTGTGGGTGGTTGTGAATGTCCATCCAAAGACGTGTCGCTCCATGTGGTTACAAGAGCAGCCTGTCTGGACGAAGAACACACTGCCACAACTTGTCATGGACAGAGTGTCCCACCAAATCCAAATGGGAAAGTTTGTTGATTCCACGAGTGACCCTTTAAAAGCAACAAGTGAGAAGAATGGCCCGTGACAAAGATGACTCACTCTAACCTACAGCTGAAGAGATCAACTAGGGAGAGAGCAGGAGAACCACCTTTTGTCCCCCTTGCCAGGATGGTGGCTGGTGACAACCCATGCACAGATGTCCCAAGATGAGTGGATCTTACTAGAGATCTCTATACCCTTCTTCACATTCAGGCCTTATCACCCAAAAAAACCCTGCAGATACACAAAAAGTACCTACTGTACTTGTTACTCCTCTAAACATACTCATTTCCAAACATGTTTGCAGCTAATACAGACATTTTTACCTGCATGCTTGTAACCACAAGAGAACATTATACACACCCGAGTCTTCTCAAGCAGAGTGGAAGGCAAATCACAGTTTTGACTAGTTGGTATTTATCTGCAGTAGACTGCAATGACTTGGGTATTTTGGTGAAAGTCCAACTCAGGACTCAAACAACGTAGCAACTGGGCAATTGCCCAGAGAAGCTGTGGCTGCCCCATCCCTGGAAGTGTCCAAGGGCAGGTTGGATGGGGCTCTGAGTAACCTGGTCTAGTGGAAGGTGTCCCTGCCCATGGCAGGGGGGCTGGAACTGGATCATCTTTAAGGTCCCTTCGAACCTAAACTGTTCTATGGTTCTATAAAAATNTGCCCAGAGAAGCTGTGGCTGCCCCATCCCTGGAAGTGTCCAAGGGCAGGTTGGATGGGGCTCTGAGTAACCTGGTCTAGTGGAAGGTGTCCCTGTCCATGGCAGGGAGTTGGAACACAATAATCTTTAGAGTCCCTTCCAACCCAAACCATTTGATGATTCTATAATTAAGTACTTTTCTTTAGATCTGGTTTCTTCAAACTGTTTTCAAAGTTGTTCACACGTGGAACCCACACTTTTGCAGATGAAGCTTTGTGACCTGACTGACTGAGGTAGCAGAGATGTTACTTCCCAGAGCTCATCTTCAATAAAACAGACTCTAGTAAAGCCACATCCAGCAACAGTACCCAAAGGACCTGAACAAACACCAGCTTGGGGGACTCCTTCCAATTCTCATCAGGAAGCTCCTGGCACACACACACACACTGCAGAAACCACACGTGAAAGAGGCTTGTGACTAGGCTAAGTTCTTATTCAGGTGGCAAGCAATGTGTTAGGCTGCCTTGGCCAGTGCCTGTGCTGCTGCCAAGGCTGGGATAGCAGCAGGAAAGCATTAGCATATCACATTTCTAACCTACAGGACACCAAACAATACCAAAAACTACTGAGCACAGGCACTGCTGGGTTTCTGGGGAACTCAATAAGTGCCCACACGGAGCCAGGACTAACCTGAACAAAGTGGCTCTGTGCCACCCAGCCTCACCATACAATCAGCACAGCACAATAACAGCTAAAACAGATTAAACAGCAAGTGCCACGGCCCCCTTTGGAAGTGCCACAAAATCCCAAGCTTTATGCCCTGCTCTGATGCTCTTCCTCAAACAGGTTGGTCT